AATTGTTGTCAGTTCTATCTCTTACACTCTGCAGTATTATAGTTGACGATTAAAATTAAAAAAAGGTGCTCTGCTGTATAGTAGGTTACAAGTGGGTCACTGTATAATGGATGGTATTAAATTTGAATTCAATGATATAATATCATTGTATAAGAAAAACGATTCTGAGCGGAGATGTTATGTCAGTCTAGGTATAAGACATAAATAATAAAAAATTGACCTATATTAGGTACCTACCTATAATAAAATCCAAATTAATCATATCACAATATCCATTAGGTACTTATAAAGCGTTATACATCAACAAAAAACCGTGATACTATCACAGATATATAATCGTATACATTAGAAGTTTCAATTACCCACGAATAATATTATACAATCACAACAAAATAGCCAAAATAGTTACTCTAGGGTTTTTTAATATGTAATTTCGTCCAAATTTGAACTTAAAATGACTATTAAAATAAACTGTGCTAATGTTTTTTTTAGATTTTTTGGTAACTGAAATAATTACTTACGTGGAATTTTTTTTTAAATTTTCAATTCTTAGATATAAAAATTGAACATATTATACATTTTTAACTACAAAATAATTATTCAATTTTAAATTTAATAAATTTTTTCAAAATTCGATCTTTAAATGCTTATAAAAAAAAATTGTCAATATGTATTTTTATATTTTTCAAATGATTTTGTAACAATATATCAGGAGTCTTGTGTTAAATTTTCACACTTTTTGGCCCAACAGATAAAACTTTATTGATATTGATATTTATAGAAAAAAAAAAATTGAAAATTGAAAATGTCCGGCAACAGCTCACAAAGAGTCAAAATATTTTCAAAATTGAACGGTGTATAGGAAATGCTTATGTACACATTCAGTGAAAGTTTTTCGGTTTTGAATTACAACAAAATAACAAAATCGCCTAATGAGAAATCGAGTGAATATCCAATATCTTAAAAATATGAAATTCAAACCTCTCATAAAAATTTAATTTGACTTTCTTATAGAAATTTTTTTTTTTGATAAAGATCTTATAAGGAATCTTATATTACATTTTAAAATCTTACATCTAAAAAGAAAATTTTTTATGAATTTCTAACCCAAAACAATTTTGAAATTTTCGTCATTTTTACGAATTTTGTCAATATTTGACCTTTTAATGCTTATAAAAAAAAAAATGTGACTATGGATTTATAATTTTTTTCATCTGGCTTTGAAACAATATACTAGGTGCCTTCTATTAAATTTTCAAGCCTTTTTAAGCATAAAAAAAATTTTATTGATATTTTTAGAAAAAGAACTAAAAAAAAATTGGAAAATGAAAATGTTCCTAAGTAGTTCAAAACAAATCATAATATTAGATTCTGAATGAAACGATAAATCTTTTGATTATACAATGATGTGTGTTTTTTTAATAATTTTTTTATTTTTGTGTCTGTCATCACCTTTTAGGACAGTACAAGTGCTTAGATTTTCTTCAACAGTATCTTTTCTGAAACAATAATCAAAAAAATATTTTTGTCAAGTTTTTGGAATATTTGTAGCAGGAGCACAGTTGCAGCTGATAAAGTATTAGAAATATGTGGCTGCAAGTTTCCTGTTCCCGTAGTAACTAGATGGAACTGACTATTTGATGCATCAAAAAAATTTTTGATACGCAAAACTAAAATAGTTAAAATATTTGAAGTTAACAAAAATAAATAAAAATGAGTGGACTTTTTTAGAGTAGTATTGCACAGTGATGGAACCTTTAGCCATTTGTCTTGATAAAATGCAGTGTGAAAAAAAAGGTTTTTTAGAGTATGTTGCACCTATTATTCAGGTTGACGCGGCCCGCGTTAGTAGCAAGTACAATGTACAAGCACTATAGCGACCAGTCTATCTTATCTCCAACCACCACCACGGGATGCAAGCAGCGCGACCGGGTTGACTCTCCCACCGAGCCGGTAACGGCAAGGTGGGACGGGGGGACTGTGTCGCGTAAAACGTACAGCGGTCGGCGGAAAAGTCGATTCGAGATCCACCATCGGACCGTCGGACCGATAACATATCGTCCGACGTTAAACTCATCTGCCCGAGCGGCACGTCATGTATTGTTATATTTTGGTCGCAATATTATAATACATAATTTGTGACATTCTTAAAGTGTTTGTGTTGTGTTTATTTCATCACCTCAATCCTAACCAAACACTTCGACCGGACCACGATCAACCTTGAAGCAATCATCGTGTCCGCGTCAAATGGCTCCCCGCAGAGGAATTAGTCCGGTCAGCGAAAAGGTAAGAGTTTTTCACGTTGACACATACCTCGGATTATTTGCTTATATCATTTAGTATTGAGATATTTAACCAGGAGTGTGTTTTTTCCGGTTAGCTAGGATTTCCAATCTACCCAAGTTAGGATTACGTAATAGGTATTAACCATTAGGTATAACTCTGCTACGTAGGGGAAATCCGCGCGATCGAAAATAACCGTGATACGGAATGGGAAGCAGTTACATAACGTATTGCCACCCTTCCCGGCGCTCACCTTTCGTCAGCGACTTTATTGCCGATAACAGCGCAGCGTGCAGACCGCGACGACAAAACCAGTCGTCGTCACCGCCGCCGCCGCCGCCGCCGATTCCGTGACCTAGTTTCGCTATATTTGGAACACATCGGCGGCCGTCAACAGCTGACCATTGTTTACGTCGGCGTAAATTATTTGATAATAGTCGTTCAATACTCGCGTATTCACGCATGTACACCCACACACCACCGATTTTGGAAGACACTGACGCTAGCGATTGGTATAGGCCACCGTCCGGGGACAACATTGCTAGCTTTAGGGCTATGTAAATATCCACGGACGGCCAGCCGGTACACAACAGTCCAAGCTCCAGTCGACCACAAATCAGGCAGAAACCGCGCACGTATAGAACGACAAACTTTTCAAAGCCGCCTCGGAATCAAAAAAAAAAAAAAAAAAATATCGACGTAATCGTTACACCAATCGACCGAAACGAAAACGTTCGAGTCACGTTGGCTGGCGCTGTAAGCTAGCATGGCGAAGTTCTTCACGGAACAGCCAACAGCGTACAGCAGCCACACAATTTTGAGATCCCGTGGCCTATCAACCACCCGTCACCCGTACACGTTACCACTCGCACACACGATGGTTACCAGTCGGCTAGGTCGTTCGAGTAGGTACAACGTAGTCAGCGCCCAGCCGGGTTCAGTTACATTGATACCTTAAATGAACGACCTTTTTCAACGACCACTCTGGTCAAACGGGAAGCGCGTCGCGCTACCCGTCATACGCCGCACGCGCGCAGGTACGATCGGTGTTAATACCGAGTTCTACGCGGAACAAGGGCCGAGCACCCTGTCCGGTTTTTAGCCAACACCTAGTCGTTACTCACGCAAGCGCGTAGACACTAAAACGTCCACACAATCACTTACGGAATTTGTGCTGATTTAAAACCAGCTCGCGCCCCGCACGTTAATACTGGCCTATCCGAATCGGAGTAGGTAGGTGTTATCGTCCGGCGAACGCGCGACACTTTCCGTAGGTACACATATCCGGCTACATATAACATTTACGTTCAGCGTGCTTCGACGCATAGCAGGCGTTTTGACTTCGTGTCGGATAATATCTCCACCCACGACCCACCTCTCGTCACCCATCATACCATATTTTCGGTAGTACGGACGGAGAAAAATTATGCCATCATCGCGCACGTAGTTCGGTAATTCGTAACGACGAAAAACCAACTACGAATTTTTCCGTCAACACACCACCTATCGGCACCCACTCTTAAATCCCAAACCTACACCACCCCACCACCCACCACACTCACCTCACCGGTGACACGTGTGGTCAACATCAACGGCTTATGGGGCAGCCGCAGGTGTAGGGACAAAGGTAACAGAGCCACGGGTGTTCACCTGCAAAGGTGATGGGGGCGCAAGCACACCAACTTCGCACACCCCCGCATTATAGGTCATTCTGTATACGTAAAGCATCAGGCGAGCACCGAGACAACCGACAGGGACAGTTTGGTCATGGCGGTCAACACCGACCACCAATCAGTCTCTGTCGCGGTTCAGAACCAGTTGCCCCGCTCGACCGATTGCAATACGTCTAATAACGTCACACGAACACGCCCGGACAAAATTCCGACCCACCGAGGTCGAACACGAATTTCCGTCAGGCTTCGTAACGGCGCTATTAGATCCACAGACCCAAATCGTACGTAAACCCGACCCATAGCCTGTAAATACGGCAAACCCCTCCACGGACCAACAAACACGGTCCGGATGGCAGACGGACACATGCAACAAACAGAGCAGTGCCACATGGATAACCAACGTCACGTCGCAGCCATACCAACGACAACGAGGCACCAAAGCACGAGGTCAACAACCAACACCACCTACCAGAGAGGGACTAGGAGGGTGTCAGCAAGGCAAGCTTACTTCAAGTCACATGGCAAGGGGTACCGCGAGCTGAACCACTTATCCACCGACAACAGTACGCTGTGGCACCCCGTATGGTGGTTTGGGGGGGGGGAGTATGACGCGGCCCGCGCTAGTAGCAAGTACAATGTACAAGCACTATAGCGACCAGTCTATCTTATCTCCAACCACCACCACGGGATGCAAGCAGCGCGACCGGGTTGACTCTCCCACCGAGCCGGTAACGGCAAGGTGGGACGGGGGGACTGTGTCGCGTAAAACGTACAGCGGTCGGCGGAAAAGTCGATTCGAGATCCACCATCGGACCGTCGGACCGATAACATATCGTCCGACGTTAAACTCATCTGCCCGAGCGGCACGTCATGTATTGTTATATTTTGGTCGCAATATTATAATACATAATTTGTGACATTCTTAAAGTGTTTGTGTTGTGTTTATTTCATCACCTCAATCCTAACCAAACACTTCGACCGGACCACGATCAACCTTGAAGCAATCATCGTGTCCGCGTCAAGGTACTACGCCGCTCTTTAATCATGTTGGAAAATTTAAAGTTCTGCAGACCATTAAGTTTTAAAATCATTCATAGTCTAGAAAAAAGGTTTAACTATTTATTTGATTTATCGTTGCCTAAGAGTAGATGTTTCATTCTAGCCTCGATTAGTCATCCTAAATTTAAATTAAGTTGGATACCACCTCGTTATATGGAAACATGCAAAAAACAATTTTTGGACGAATGTTATCAAATGTATTCTATTCAAAAACCAACTGAAGCAATTTCTGAAAGCGATAGTGATTTGAGTGATGGCGAATTTTACTCATGTTTACAAGAAAATAATGACGACTCCACATCTTTCTCCGATGGACCACTAGATCAAAATAATTTTAGATCTACTAATGTTTCCCGTGTCCAAGCATTGAATTTTTTAAATTCTAAAAAAAAAGACCTCTGTATGTTGGAAAACCATCCTATTGTAAAACAAGTTTTTCTTAAATTCAACACTACTATTCCATCATCAGCCCCTGTGGAAAGACTGTTCAGTGGACCCATTCAAGTTTTAACTCCTAGAAGAAATCGTCTTAGTGACAAGACATTTGAAATACTACTATGCTCCAAATCAAATAAGAACAAGTAACAACTTACAAATTAAGCCCTGTCAGCTGATTTATTTTAAAATAATTTGTTATGTATATTTTAAAATTAGATTTTTATTTAAATACTATTTGTTTTATTGATATTTTAAATTATAAATATTATAATATTTAAACATCATATTAATGGAATTTTGTTTTAATTAAGATACTAAACTTATATACCTAGTTTATAGTTATATCCTACAATTCCAAAATGTTATTGAAGTTTATTGATAATTAAAAAGTTTGTTTTGATATTGCAATGTTTGGATACATTTAAGAATGATTTTTTCTAATTTATTACATGTAATTCTATTTTGAAGTGGATGTCATCCTAATGATACTTGTATGCAATTATTATTTATTAAATTAGGATAATAATTGTAGGTAAAGAGTTTGGAGTTTAGATTTCTTAAAAAATATAATATAAGTTACCAATTAGTGATGATTGAAAAAAATAAATAAGACTTACAGTATTGCCATGTTCAGTTTGAATTGAAGTAAAAAAGTAGGTAGACAGAAACAAATCATTGTTTAACAATTAAAATAAGGAATTGCATAGAAAAATGTTGTTTATTAAAATGAATGGTCATAAAATAGTAAAAAACTAAAAGAATTTGTCTAAAATAATTAAGAAATATATTTATTTTTTGCGCATTTTAAACAAAAAATAAAAATATCTATTATGATATCTAGATAAAAAAAATATAAATATCTTTAGCTTAATCTAGATAAAAGTAAAAATGATCATCTGAATCTAAAGCTAGATAATTGTTTACGAAATTATCTTTATCTTATCTAGATATTATTTTTGTTATCTGAGCTCAACACTGGTGTTTGGTTATCACCCATTTTTAAATCACCTATGGCAGACTTTGGTTATGATATTTCGGGTTACAATATAATTGATCCCGTATATGGCACAATGGATGATTTTGTTTCGTTGCAGAAAAAATTGCAATCTTTGGGTAAGTAAAGTCATTTTCAACTTAAAATAATAATAATAATAAAAAAATAATAACATTCTGTTGTTTTGATGACTTTGGGGTAAATTAAATACCACCTATTAATAAAATATAATTGATTGATTTTGTTTTGTATATATAATATATAAGTACCTACCTATATATTAACTGTACCTACTAGACGGTACCCGCCGTTTTTCCCGAATCGAAATTCCCGAATGAACTTTTTCCCGAATGGTATTTTGCCCGAAAATCCCAAAACCCGAAACCTTTTTTCCCGAACGCGTTTTTCCCGACGGTTATTGTTCCCAAAATAAAAAATTTCAAAATTTAATTAATAGCATATTGTCGCGGCTCGGGAGCGACGTATGTGGCGATAAAGATAATATTTATGAAAAAGTACATCGATGGCGTAGCGCACAAGTGTGATAAGTGACATTTTCGTAATTGTTCAGGAGAGCGATTTTTAAGTTTGAGATGTCATAACAAATTCAAAAATGTAACGAACTGTACGACATCTATCGGAGTAAATAATGAACTATTCACTTCCAACGTTTGGGCATAATGTGCAGAATTGTATGATTAAATTGATTATGCACTTAACTCATTTTTCAAAAAAATGTCACTTATCACACTTGTGCGCTACGCCATCGACATGTATCTTGCCTTAAAAGAAATCAATGCGTCAAGTCCGGAGGTATTTATTTTTTCTACATTTCCACGAATCTATTCTAATTTTATTTATTTTAAATATAAGGAAAAATTTGCCGCCTAATCCGAAAACTGACTGATTTTAACCTACAATTTTTGAGGACGATTGCGCATAATATTGTTTTGTAAGTAATAATTATTAATATTGTTTATTTTATTTTTTATATGTATTTATTTTTACTATACAACATAGGCGGGTTGGCCGCTTTATACTTACTTATTATAAAATTTGATCGATTTTTAAATATTTAATTATCACACTATCACTATATGTTTTAAATTATTATTACTTTTATTTTTTATAATATTATGTGTTTATTTTTATTATACAACATAGGCGATTGGCAGCTTTATACTTACTTATTATAAATTATAAATTATAATATTATTATTCGATTCGGGTAAAAAGTGTTCGGGAAAAAAGATTTAGGGTATACTGACTTTCGGAAAAAATACCATACGGGAAAAAGTTCATTCGGGAATTTCGATTCGGGAAAAAGGCGTTCGGAAAAAAAGGTTTCGGATTTTCGGACAAAATACCATTCGAGAAAAAGTTCATTCGGGAATTTTGATTCGGGAAAAATACCGGTAACCGATATATTCGTCAATATTTAAATTATTGTGAATAAGTGTTCATAAAAATGTATTGAAACACCTAAAAATAATTTTATTTTTATTTTCCTTAATATTTGGTAATAATCGTCTCATAAAATAAAGAATAAAATCAAACCAATTAATATTTATTCTATAATCTATATTGAGTATTGATTATATTAAACACCTAATAAAACATAAGATAGTTTCTCTAAATTATATCACCTAATAAATCTGTTTTTTCTAAAATATCATCCTAATTTTAAAATTATACGTTTATTTATAAATTTCATGAAACCTAACTTTCAAAAATATTTATATATTATCAAATATTGTATGCATTATAATATATACAGGACGATTCACCAAGTATGCTCACCTCAATTATTTCCTTTCATAATACATTTATTCAAGCTCTGATTCCAGAATTTTAAAGAACCAGATTTTTAATTATTCAGATTATATTATACCATTTAATGAGTGTCCCGTGGCCGATACATGGTTCTTTTTTTTAAACGAGAACTTAGATTTTTTACTGTAATTAGTAAAGAAGATGATTTTTTTGAAAATTTTGAATTGTAGACCTATTGATTAAAATTTGAACGAGTAATTTCTAAATTATTAAAATATATTAAATACAAAAGATAATAGTCTTCAAAAAAGGTTTACAAAAATATAAATTAAATCTAATATTGGATATAGTATAATCGGAAATGTTTGCAATATTATAAAAAGTTGATAAATTGATATAAATTGCTAAAAATATTTTGACAACATAGGCCCCATATTTTCCGAATCTAATATGTTATAAACTTATTATATTTATTAAACAATGTTATATACTCAAAAATTACTCATTCACATTTCAATTCAGATGGGTACATTAAAATGTTTAAAAAAAGTTGTCTGATTACCTAATAGGTAATATAAATTATACAGGAAAAAGGTTGATTTGCTTTTGAAAAAAAAATTGTATTCCCACAGAACGTTCCTTAAATGGTATAAAAAATCTTCATAATTTGAAATACAGTACTTCAGTGTAAGAAGTACCAGGTACTTTAAAAATAAATTCGTAATTAAATTAAAAAAATTAAAAAATTAAAAAAATGAGGGTATGCACACAAATAGTAATATTTAACAATGTATTTTTATCTGTAATAAAAATCTAAAATAATAATTTTTATAATTTAGGCATTAAAATTATTTTGGACTTCGTACCTAATCATTCAAGTGATGAACACGTATGGTTTAAAAAGTCTGTGGACAAAATTATGCCATACAAAGATTATTATGTATGGAGAGATGCTAAATGCGATGACAATAATACGATAACGCCACCAAATAATTGGGTAAAGTATTTCAAGAATTGAAAATCATAATATTATAATATTTTGTTTGTTTTTCATTTATGACGTTTAAAAAAATGTCTGTAACAGCGTATTCTGCGTATTGAATTTCTTTTTGTCTTGCAATTGTTATACTTTTATATTTTATTTTAATTAGCATAGTAAGAAATTATAGGGGAACGGAGTGGCAATTTTCTTCGAGCAGTCAGGGTGTCCGGAGAGAGAGGCCACCCCCCCTCCCCCGGGTATGGCAGATACATTCGGGTGCCCACTTGAAAATTCTGCCAAAAAAAACACACACGTGTTCAACACCTACAGTACCCTTCCCCACAGTTCCACAGGCTAATGACCTCAGTTGTCGAAGCCTCAACCCCAAAAAATGAAAATAATAATTTTTTTTAAATATTGTTTAAACATATAATATTAATATGTACACATTTTTTCAGCAAAGTTTATTCAGTAATTCAGCATGGACATGGAATAAAAAACGTGAACAGTATTATTTACACCAATTTGACCGTAAACAACCAGATTTAAATTACAGAAATAAAGACTTGGTTAAAGAAATGAAAGTAAGAATGCATCTCCAAAAAAAAAAAAATAAAAATAAAACAATACAATATAATAATATACTTAGATTAAGATTAAAACCTATAATCTGTCCGGGCATAACGAACTTGACGATAAATAATGGTGAATCTTATGTTATTAGTAACAACCTATTACCTAACCAGACTTTAAACGTTGTATCGACCATATTATATTTTCTTTAATATTTTACGTGTAGTTCATAAAATTAATTTAGTTTTAATTGTACCTAGATGTTTATTGTTTCTTAAATATTTCTGTATTCAAGGACAAACATCTATTAGATAAAATAAGGAGTCAGTCAAACAACAATAAATTAGTGTATTCAGTTAAATATTTAAAATTAATTGTAAACTTCTAATTATTACACAAAGTAATGCATTGGTTAAATGCTGGACATTATAGGGAGACCTTGTTTCGGTTCACTCACTTTGCACCTTGTAACTGGATGGTGGAAGTGGTATGTTATGATATTTGATTTCAAAGTAATGATACACCGATTTCAAAAAACATGTTATTACCTGTTAAAAGTATTTTCTAGTTAAGATTTATATATTATAAATGCGTTACATGAAACTTTTGGAGCTCTCCTTACTTCAAAAAAATAAATTACAATAAAAATAATACCAATGTAGAATTTACTTGGAATTGATTACCTATAAAAAATTAAGTTGATTTAATAAGAGAAATATACTTAGACGTGAGTATAATTCGTGTATTGTAGACAATAGACAAGTTAGTAGTTACCTATGATTTTCCCATACAATATTCGCATTAATAACCTTTTCCAGATAATTAAACATTATATAATTTGATAATAAATTACAATAGAAAATACATAGGTACCTATTAATATTGTATGAGAAACTTATAATGTGACGTCTTCCAAGCATTTACACTCAAATGCTACTCTTTTTATATTGATTTTGACCAATAATTTGTTTTATGTTTAATTGATACTACTTACATACACGTAAATTATTATATTTATGGGTACTTTGGTACTCACCCGAATTTATATTAGTTTCTGAGAGGATCGATAAATATACCTATATTGGTTTTACATGCATGTATAAAAAAAATTTAATTTCTAACTTTGCTTTAACTTTTTAACTAGCTTATACTTAATGTCCACTTGTACTTCACAGTTACATAATATTATCTTTTGTGTTTGAATAAACCCTTAAAGACAAATATGTCTTATATTTCATAATTAAATTAAAATGTTTTTTTTTTGTGCAGAACAACTTGAGGTTTTGGTTGGATCTTGGTGTAGATGGGTACAGACTACAGACTACAGAGTAGATGCCGTACCTACCGTTTTTGTTCGAGCATCCAGACTTTTTAGACGATATCAAAAAACCAGAAGAACTAGCTAAAAATGAGAAAAATACTTATGACCAGTATTATCATCCCAATATAATGGATTTAGTTGAAACGTATGACATGATTAATCAGTTTAGGGACGTAATAGATGAATACACACTGAAAGATGGAAAAAGCAGGTACCTATATACTTTTATCACACTAAGTATTTAACCATATAACTATTGACATTTAACATTTCATTGTGGATCAATTTTTTAATTTAGTATATTTTAGTATATTTTAGTACAAGTACCATAAATTATGTTCATTATTAATAATAATAAATAGTATTATACAAAAATTAAACAATTTTCATGATTTTTTTACAAATTAACGAATTCTCAAATTTAAAATACCGTAATTTCGTTACCGATTATTTTAGATCGAATGATATTATATGATGAAATATGTTTATTGTTCATATATGACACGAACATTTTGAAATTTTACTCTTATTTATTCTGTTTATAAAAAACTTACGAAACTTTAAAAGGACGTATCACCCACATGTGTTTGCCTCTAACTTTTAAACGTGCAACTTAGAATATTTCAGTTCAGTCGAACCAATTTTATGTTGTTACGTGAATACTGAATATAAGATATTTAGATATAAATAGACATATATAAGACTTAAAGAACTTAATGGTAAGAATATTATCTTTGAGCATTCGTTTTTTATAATGTATTGATTTTTAAGTGAGCTATGACTAAGTGTAAAATGACAATTAAAAGCAATTAATTCTCATAAATCGCTTAAAAATTTAAATATTGTTAAAAATCAACAGACTTGTTTACCTACTGATAATATTTTTTTTTGTGTCTGTCATCACGTTTTAGGACAGTAAAAGTGTTTGGATTTTCTTCAACAGTAGCTATTCTGATAGGAAAGTGAATCTAGTTGGTACTTTGGGGGGTCAGAAGTAAAAATTTCCCAGTAGTATTCAAAACAACCGGAAAAAACAGCATAAAAATTAAGGAAAAACGGGAATTTTTACGCAAAATCGGTTTTCCAAACTGGTTGTTTATATTTACATTTTATATACACGATAACATTTTCAAAATATTTTGATTTATTTTAGTTTTGTTTAGGGACATTTTCATTTTCCATCTTTTTTTGGTTTTTTTTCTAAAAATATCAATAAAATTTTATTTGTTGGTTGCGAAAGCTTGTAAATTTAATAGAAGGCTCCTAATATGTTGTTTCAAAGGCAGATGAAAAATATTAAAAATCCTTAGTCACAATTTTTTTTTATAAGCATTTAAAGTTCAAAAATTGACAAAATATGGAAAAATCACGAAAATTAGCAAATTATTTTGAGTTAAGAATTCGTCAAAATTTTTCTTTTTAAATCTAAGATTTGAAAATTTAATTCAAGATTCTTTATAAGATTATCTACCTTCATCAAAAAAAAAAATGTCGATAAGAAAGTCAAATTAAATTTTTATGAGCGTTTGAAATTCAAATTTTTAGAACATTGGATATTCACTCGATTTCTCATGTAGCGATTTCCTTATTTTGTTGTAATTCAAAAACGAATAACTGTAGATACATGAAAATTTCACTGAATATTTGTATTAGCATTTCCTATACACCATACAATTTTTAAAATATTTTGACTCTTTTTGAGCTGTTTACGGACATTTAAAGCTTTCAATTTTTTTTAGTTTTTTCTTCTATAAATATCAATAAAGTTTTATTTGTCGGGCCAAAAAGTGTAAAAATTTAATAGAAGGCTCCTGATATATTGTTACAATAGCAGTTGAAAAATATTAAAAATACATAGGCACAGTTTTTTTTATAAGCATTTAAAGATCGAATTTTTACAAAATTTATCATAATCTCGAAAATTATGAATCATTGTAATTATAAATTATAAAATGTTCAGTTTTTATAGCTAAGGATTGCAAATTCTAAACAAAGGTTCTCATAAATAGTTCATTCTGTAACCAAAAAATCTAAAAAATATATGAACACAGTTATTTTTTACAGACATTTTAAATTCAAATTTGGACGAAATTACATATTAAAAAACCTAGAATAACTTTTTTAGTTATTTTATTGTGGTTGTATAATAATATTTGTGAGTAATTGAAACTTCTAAAGTGTACTTTTATGTATCTATGATAGGATCACGGTTTTTGTAGATGTATAACGCGTTATAAGTACCTAATGGATATTGTGATATGATTAATTTTGAATTTATTATAGGTACCTATTATAGGTCAATTTGTTGTTTAATACCATAGATATGTATATAATATGACGTATACATACACTGACATACCGTCTCCACTCAGAATCGTTTTTCTTATACAATGATATTATATCGTTGAATTCAAATTTAATATCATCCATTATACAGTGAACCACTTGTAACCTACTGTACAGCAGAGCGACACCCACTTGCCCACCTTTTTTTTAATTAAAATTAATTTTATGACGAATTAGTTTTGTTTTTTTTTAATAATTACGTATGTATGTGATATTATCATAAGTTAAAGCTGGTTTAAAGTCTAAATTTTAATATTTGTACGATATAAAAGCGAATACCTATATACAAAATACAAACTTAAATAATAAGTAAACATGGTGACTACAGACTAATAAATATTTTCATCAACAGACTCTCCTGTTGGTTATCAATCATAATTTTGGATATATTTTTTTCTATTGCACTTTAAGAAAACTAATTTTCACACAATAAATGATTTTTTATTCCGACACGTCAAAAAAATAAATTATACAATTTAATACGCTTTATGTGTGCAGATCGGAAACCACGAGAATCCGCGCGTGGCCACCCGGTTTGGCGGCGAAATGGTGGACGCCATGAACATGCTGAACATGTTGTTGCCCGGCGCCGCGTTCACGTACATGGGCGAGGAGATCGGCATGTCGGACACGGACATCCGGACATCCGCTGGGAACAGACGGTGGACCCGAGGGGTCGGAACGCTGGGCGCAGCGGTTTCCGGACATTGAGCAAGGGACCCTGCCAAGTCGCCGTACCAGTGGAACGCCAGTGCCAACGCCGGGTTCACGGTATCTTCTAAACCGTGGTAACCGGTGAACCCCAACTACTGGAAGCTGAACCTGGAGGCGCAGAAAAAGCAGCATTGCAGCCACTACACCTTGTACAAGCTGTTGGCCAAGCTCCGGAAGACCCGGACGGTGCAGCGCGGTTCGTTCGACGGCAAAGAGCTGTCCCAGTGGGTGTACTCGTTTACCAGGTGGTGCACAGTGTTGACTTGAGTAATTGGCCAACTTTGGAAAAAGACGAAACGTGGCAGGTACACACGCCAAGCGCCAATGCACAATACTCAATAGGGTGAGGAGCAATAATTAATAATTGAATTACATTTTAATAATATTTTATAAGCACAACGTGGTGTGATATAAAAAAAAACCTATATGAGCTGTTGTAGGCATCGTTAAGACACCCTCGAAAATGGTTATATCACATATTTGGGAACAGTATTTTCAGTAAATTTATCACAAACATGTTAGAGGATCCGGACATAATAGCTACTATGAAAATCAAAAGGATAAGCTGGGCAGGGCATGTATGGCGAGGCCGAGAGCAGGAGGGGTTAAAGTGGGAAAAAATTCAAGAGGGGACTAATGTCTCCATAAAGTTTTAAGCTTTCCATATATAATTGTATGTATAATGTCTAATGTATAAAATCCTAATTTGTTAAAGGGGACGTTTTTTAACCGCCGTCAGAGGTAGGGGGACTGAGTCCTCCTGCGTCCCCCCCACTTTAACCACTGGAGAGCAGACAATTGATCAAGTCACCTACTGGAAGCCGAAGAGCAAAAGACCACTCGGCCGCCCAAGACAAAGATGGGTAGATAGGGTCCATAAAGACTTGGATATGCTGGGAATCTTGAACGGCGAAAAGCTAACCACGGATAGAGATAGATGAAGGAAAGAGGTGGTTGCGGCGAAGGACCTAAACGGTCTATATTAAGCCAGGAGAAAAAAAAATGTACTATAGTAATACCTATATTAAATAAAAATATTAATAATTGCTTTAGTTTCAATTCCAATGTAATTTTCACCTGATTCTTATATATTCCTATACATATAATAGTATAATATTGGTAAATTTAGCTATCTAGATGATATTATAAAGTTATATTTATATTACAATTTACAGCTATTTAAGTAACTCATTTTATTAATAGTAAAATATTGCATTATAAAATGTCTAATTTCATCCAAGTTTCAACTTAAAATTACTATAAAAAAAACTGTGCTTATATATTTTTTAGATTTTTCGGTAACAGTATTACCCACTCATGAGAAATCTCGTTTTAAATTTCCGATCTTTAGCTATAAAAATTGAACATTTTATAAATTTTTAACCAAAATAACATTTGCAAATGTTGGCGGTACCTATATTGACTAATTTTATAAAAATGCTAACAAAAAATAAATAATCGTACATAATGTATCTTCATTATATAAAAATTGCTATTACACAAACTTATGAGGAACCTTGTATTAATTGTTTAAGCTTTTAGACCCGTCTCTAAATAGGTCGAAAAAAGTAGAAATATTTTGAACATTTCATCATGTAAGTACCTTTAGACAGTTGTAATATTTTATCATAATCATTTGGTGAAATTGAAGTATCTATTTATAGTTGATTTTTGAATTACAACAAAATATCAAAAATCGTTTGAGGAGAAATTATTAACTAACTGTTGAATATCCATCGTAAAAAATTAATATCAAATGCTTAAGCGAAATGATTCCAGTGTTGGGAATATATCACTAAAATAATATCTAGATAAAGATTTTTAAAATAAAATATATTAAAATGTTATCCAGTTATAAATTAAAATATATTATAACACAAATATTGGTTATGTTACAAGAACACAAGAGAATTACAAGGACAGTTACTAGTCGCGTTGACTCGTTTGTATT